AGTGTGGTGAGACCCTGGCCCACGTTGCCCAGAGAGGTGGGAGATGCCCCATCCCTGGAACCATTCCAGGCCAGGTTGGACGGGGCTCTGAGCACCCTGATCTGGTTGGAGATGTCCCTGCCCATGGCAGGGGGCTGGACTGGATGGCCTTGAAAGGTCCCTTCCTACCCAAACCAGGCTGTGATGGATGATGGTCACAGCAAATCCCCGTGATCCAAGGAAGCCGAGCGAGTTCCAGAACCCTTCTCAACACCTTTGTCGCCTTCTTGTCCAGACGAGTCTTCTGATGAAGACACCTTTGACGAGGAAGCGTATTACGCAGCCCTGGGAACCCGCCCAGCCCTCAACATGGAGGAACTGGACTCGTCCTACCAGCACATGATCGACCTCTTCTCTGTGTGCACCAGCGAGGACCCCAAGAAGCGTCCCTCAGCCGCGTGCATCGTGGAAGCCCTGGAGGCAACCTTGGCCCAGGAGTAAACCCACCCGCGCTCCACACTCTGTGCAATAGTTGTGCGTTTAGTTGTCGTGTTACAGCTGCTTTAAACCTTTCCCTCGGTGTTTGTGTCGAACTAACACTATTTTTGTGACAGTTTTTAAACATAATTGTGGGTTTTTTTCTTAATCCCAGTGTAGAAGTGGTGCTTTTCTTTTCCGCAGGGAGTGCGTGTGTGTCTCTGCCAGGTCAGTGCAAGCTTTGGTGAGGGGGCCTGGGTAAAGTGTTTGTGTTCCTGAGGTGGCTGGGGGCAGCAGGAGAACATCACCAAGGGAGAGCAGCTGCAAGCTGAAGACAAAGGCTTCCTGACACGACAGGCTGTTAGGCAGGATCGTACCGCAGTAAAAGGGGTTTAGGGTTAAGAGAAAAACCCAGTCTCCTGGGGGTTTGTTAAAGGAAATCCTGCTGGTTGGGGAACTGGGGTGCATGAGGAGGAGTGTGGGCAGCAGGTCGAGGGAGGTTCTCCTCCCCCTCTGCTCTGCCCTGGGGAGGCCCCATCTGCAGTGCTGTGTCCAGTGCTGGGCTCCCCAGTTCAAGAAAGATGAGGAGCTACTGCAGAGAGTCCAGCGGAGGGCTACAAGGATGAGGAGGGGACTGGAGCATCTCTCCTACGAGGAGAGGCTGAGGGAGCTGGGCTTGTTCAGCCTGGAGAAGAGAAGGCTGAGAGGGGACCTTCGAAATGCCTCTAAATATCTGCAGGGTGGGGGTCAGGAGGACGGGGCTGGACTCTTTCCTGTGGTGCCTTCTCTGGAGATATTCCAGCCCCGCCTGGCCGTGGTGCTGTGCCCCCTGCTCTGGGTGACCCTGCTTGGGCAGGGGGTTGGGCTGGGTGACCCACAGAGGGCCCTGCCAACGCCAAACAGTCTGTAATTCTGTGAAATTCGTGCCCACCACTGGAGAGGTTTCTTCGTGGACTTGTCCTGCTCCCTCCCCTGCAGCCCTCAGGCTTCTGGTTCAGCCACTGCCGCCTTCTCCTCTGCTCCCCTCAAAGGAGGAGAGCACTGGAAGCGCTCCCACACCTCCTTCCGTACGCGCAAACGACCTCGAGCAGCAGCGTTTCACACATTTTATTGAGCAGGCAGCCCCCGTGACAGCTTCCCCTGCAGCACAACAGCGTGAGGGTGCCAGGTCTCACACGCTGGCGGGGGAATCCTGCCCCAGATTAAGGCTTCTCATACTCTGTGCATAAATTTAGCAACTGCTTGCGCTAAGGCTTCTACCCTGCCTTTTACAGCACGCGCGCTGCAGAGCTCAGAATTACAAACCCACACACCAGGGAGAAAACCAGCCACCTTTATATTAATTAAACCTCTTTAAAGAAATTAAGTTAGTTGCAATAAAATTTCATCTCAGAAGAAACAAACCTACCTGAAATCCAAGCAAGGTTCCACGGCGTAGGCTAACACAGAACACAGCTCTGTACAGAAAGAGACACAGTCCCCCCCCCCGGCTCGCTCCCAAGGG